TCTTCTCTTCTTCTGTTACATTCTCTTCAAAGATATCTAATCTTGATTTGGCCAAATCCCGCAAAGATGAAGATACATCTGAACCCAGTGTTAACATATTTGAAGAACTTCGATTCAATTCAGTTGTTTGTTTCTTTTCCTTCCATCGAGGATCTAATAGCTCAATTCGCACATGCTCGGAAATCTCGTTGACATTGATTTGTTGACCACAAATTTGACACAGGGTAGTAATCACCTTGGCATTTTGAGCTTGCTGTTGTGCCGTCTGAAGTTGTTTGTTTTTCGGAACGTAGTCTTTTCGAATCTTCATTCCAGTCGTATTCAGCTTTTTGATTTCTGCAACTTGCTTACCCTCTGTCTTATTGTTATCCTCATCATCTCGTTGTGAATCATCTTGATCCTCAGCGGCTGCTTTAGCCTTGGCTTCTTCAGCTGATCGTTTAGCATCTTCCAACATTTCATTTGCCTCTTGATCATGACGTAAGTTGGTTGCATTCAGTTGTTCTTCATCGATCGTGCTCATGTCTTTTCCTTCCATTACCATCGCAGCCATCTTCTTTTGAGCAATCGTCATGTTTTCCACTTCACTGATACTCATCGGTGGTGGCAAGTCGATCACCTCATCATTCTCAGTAAATTCCACCGTACTAACCACAATGAAATCTTCCCAATCAATCTCATTAAACTCTTTCTTTTCCTTCTCTTCCTCAGTCGTCTTTTTCTTCAATTCAAGACCTTTGTAACGTTCCCATTTGATTCGACTTTCAACTTCCGTCATCACTTCTCTTTTACCAATGATAGTCCGTTCTTTCTGAGCTTGAGCAGCCTTTGCAACATCTAACCTTTTGCGATCAATGGCTTTTCCTCCAGCCAGGCGCTCGAGTCTTTCCAAAGTCTCAGGGGTCGGAATCAAGACTTTAGTATACTGTTCAACGAGTCGGTTGAAGAATCCAAATAGAGAATGAGCAGGTCTTAAGAAATCAAATTGATAATTCCGACTTTCACGACTACTGAGATCAGAAACGAATTTTCGACCAAGTCGAGCGGTGAAGAGCGCAGTAAGTTTAATGATTTCAAGATCTACCGAGTTTATCTTGGGCATTTGATCGGGTTCGATTAAGAAAGGTAGAGGTGCTGGTTCGGGTGGTTTGTCTGGATCCGCATCAGTTGTCACAGGTGCGGCTGAAGAGCTATTGGTAGCATTGTTGGGTGCTGGTACATTGGGAACATCTCCATTTTTAATGCTTTGAATTTGATGTCGATAGTAGGCGTTGTATGCGTCATCAGGGCTTAGGAAAGAGAATCGAGAATCGGTCTTTTCTCGTTGACGAATTTTATCCTCGACTGATATTGAGAAGCAAAAATTTCCGCTGTTAATTTGATTCATCTGAACAAAAGCTTCAAACTATTACGTTTCTCAAGAGCTTCAACTTACAGAGTTGTGGGTTGGGATTCTTGGCAATAAATGCTGCCGTCTTATCAACAATAGCTATTCACAAATCCGATTCGAACAGGCGATCATAGTTAGTACGATGTTTGAGCAATTAACAATTTTCGAACAACATGTACTCACTTCTAATCTCAGGTGGAGGGTAAATGAGACCTTCGACATATTTTTGCGAATCAATGAGTTCGTTTGACTCTTTTTCTTGATTCTGATCTTGATTTGTTTCTCCATTTTCGATATCCATCGAATTAGTAGGTTCTACTTGATTGTTTCCATCGAGATTTGAATCGGCTTGATGGTTGATATCTTGATTAGATTCAGATGAGTCTTCATGAGTATTTTGATTAACATTATCATCATTCATGTTGATTTGTTGTTGATGATAGTTTGAATGAGATATTGTTGATATTGTTCGTTGTAGTTGACCTTGCTTGAGAAATGTGACCTTGAGCGATAAACCATGTGTCGGTCCTCGCGGGTCCTTGCCCAAAACTTGTAACACTCAAATTAACTCAGAATTTGGTGAATAAATCCACCAATGACTTGGGGCAAAAGGCATCAAACCTCACAAAACCTGTCCTCTGCTTGTACCAGAATCCAGATCCATGACTCCAGAAGTATCGATCAACTCCATCGTGAGATGACCTTGTGCTCACGACTAAGTCTCTGACATGACCAGATCGACTTTCTCTTGGATGTATGAACATTGAACATGAAACTGACTTGTGTTGCTGTTGGAGCTCCCGGAATAGCCGGGTGTTTATTATTGTTTTCACACTCTCTTAGTGATCTCTGCCAACATCGTCTCCGTGGCGCACACCCCGGGCAAAGGGGCGACGCTCCCTATGTAGCGTCATGCGGACGCTCCGCCCCGGGGCCGGAGCGTCACACAGCTTCACAGGGAGCGTCACATGAAGCGTCGACAGCTTCACAGGGAGCGTCGACAGGTGCCGCACAGCACCTGTCTGGAGCGTCACCTTGACGCACACCACCCTTTACATCACCATCAACCACTTCTCGTCTTTCAACTCTCGATTCCTTTCATCTCATCGCTCAACTTCCCCTCATCATCACTTCCTTTTTCAGATTGGACCCTACCTGTCCTTGGTGTGCGGAACGTGGTTGATCGCATGGGTTGGACCCTTGTTCATCGTAAGTATCATCGACCGTAATGAGCTGTGTATTTAGCTGAGTTTAGAATTCCTTTTCAGCGACTAGACTCTTCCCACGATGCCGAAGCCTTTGTCGACCAAAAGGAGACCATTTTAGTCGAAAAAAGTGTGGTTACCTAATGAACTTTGGAAGTTCTATTTCAGATTTGGACCGTGGGTCCCATGATTGATCAGGAAAATTCTTCCGCTGATCTCTGTCGAAAATCAAATGATCAAACAGGTGTCTTACGTATCCTGGACATCTATAAATCCGGAGCCGATTGGAGTGTAAGTTTCTTTCCCCCATCCTCTGCCCGATTATACTCCCCTTCTTAATTCAATATCTGATTATTTTTCGTCGTAAATTTTCATCATTTTTTTTTATCATGATTCCTCCAAATCAACTCCAAATAACCAACGATTCGCAAACACCAACCAACGCCCCAACTCCAAGTGGCGCTCAAATACCCATCGACCTTCAAACCATGCTCATGAAGAGCTTCGAGACTCAGCAAGCCCAAATTGCGACCCAAAACACGATGCTCGAAGAAATGCGAAAAGAAGCCGCGAACCGAGAGAAAGCTTACGAAGATCTTCTCAACAAATTTCAAGACATTGGTGTCAAGAACACGGCCTCCCCAACCTCTGAAACGACCAAGAAGAAGAAGGCGCCAAGAGCTTCAACAGGCTCAATCCCAAACAAGCCGCCAAAGTCTTCCAAGCCGACTCCCATTAGGAAACCATCCCAGTCTTCAACTCCTCAGAGACAATCGACGCCATCAACATCTCGTGTTAAAGCCACTGGTCCACCAAAACCATCGCCAAAAAGACATGGTGCTCAGTTGAACGAAGGCGAGTGGCCAGAAGGATTCGATGGCACAAAGGTAGGTTCTTCTTATTCTAGTTGGATCAAATAAAATCACTAACGTTTCATCATCCATCTCTTAGAATTGCTTCTATGTCTTCATTCGAATTATCTGGGGGTTGACATCATCGTCTGCTGTACCCAAGCCACCAGATCCCGCACATCTCGCTGAATTCAACTCTCGGTTCTCGCAATCATCCGAAATAGCAGGAGTGCTGGACAGCACATCAGCCAAGGATCTCGTCGATCAAAATGAAGTTCAAGTCCCCGCCGCTGATCGTGTGAACGTGGGTGGAAGTATTGTGAACATTAAAGATTTTTTTGTTATCTATACGAAAGCGATGTTTGCTAAGCTCGGTATACGACAATGGTGTCCTGATCTCGAAAGTGCTGAAGACACCCTCTGGAACGAAGCATGTCGAATCAGCGCACTGCGGATCTTTCGACAGTGGGTTGCCGCCGATGCGTTTGCTTACATGAATATCAACAAGGCTTTCATCAACGACATACTCCTCCTTGAACGCACCTATAATCACTATGTTCATTTTTTGTATGGCCGTAAGTACAGGAGGGAATTGAAAGAAGAAGGGAAAAATCAGAAGGATGATGAGAGGAAAAACACTTTAGCTCGTCGCCGAAGGGTGAGCCTGATTTTGATCTTTGAGTTGATGTTTGATACTGATCTGTATGTATTTGCGTTTCACTTCCAGCTTATGAAAGCTCGAGCCAAGCACGCCAACCAACACAATTTCCCATCGAGATACCAGAAGATACTCAAAGAAGCCGAAGCTCACAGCGACGATGAGTGGTCAGCCAAGCTACAAGCATACGTAGTTAAGACTCCTGTTTATCGGTCGGCCAAAGCGGGGATTTTCATTCGAAGGCTGGATGATCACATGAAGATCTCGAGTGAAATCGGTCCTGTGTCAAAAGTCAAGCCACGAAAACGAGTTCGCCCTCGACCACCTAGAGAGTCTACGTTCACCAAACCTCCGAGAGGATTACCGATCGACTTTTATGATGCCGACTGGTTCAATAACACTCTCTCCGTATCACAACGACTCAACATAGCTGATTGCAACAACGTGGCCTTGCTGCCAAATCCGGAAATGTCGCTCTTGGCTAAAACCCATCCGGACGAAAGACTGAACGGTAGAAAGTTTACTGAAAAGCATTGGTCCGAAGGTACTAAACATTACAACTTAGACCATTTTAAGGAGCCTGAAGATGATGATGAGGGTTCAGAGTCTGGGAATTCAACTGCAAAAGGTGGTAGTGTTGACTTGGAAGATTTTGAAGACGAAGATGAGGATGAGGAAGGCGAGATTGAAGATGGGGAGGAATTTGAAGATCAAGGCCAAGGAAAGGGCAAGGCCCCCGCCAAGGGCCAAGGGCCCTTGTTTGTGGATGATGAAGAGATGGAGGATGACCGCGAGGAGGAAGCGCGAGATGCAAGATACGAAGCTTGGAAGAACGTTTAAAGATTTGATCTCAGTGTGCTTGTCAATTTGTTTTCTTAATTGTTTCAATTTTCTTTGCTTTCTTGTTGTAACTGCATGATTGTATTTAGTGGAATGGCCAATTCTTCCTGATAATGTCTCATGTGAATCTTCTCAAAGTGTTTCTGTTTAAAGTGTCATATATTTTCTTTGGTTATGTCTTGTCTCATCTCAACGGGTTTGCCAAAAGGTTGTTTGGACTTCTTTGAGGTGTTTGTAATTCATGTCTCTTTTCATTGCATCCTCGCAGTTCAAAAAACAAATTGAAAAAAGAGAGAAAAAACAAATTGAGAAAAGAGAGAAGTGATTGAAATTGAACAAAAGGAAAGAAAATGAGTGGACATCAACCCATGTCCGTATCAAGGTCCATAGCGTCTCCAGCTCCTTCCAATTGCAGATCCTCTGAGTAATCCGGTACAACATACTCATGTTCACCAGGATTGACACCCATTAAAAGCAGACTCGGGCCATTATATCCAAGAGTCCAGCACGGCAACTCCCGATGGGCAAGAGTACTTACTACTGAAGCTGCTGCGATAAATCCATCCTTTGAGCTTGCAATCACCCGTACCATACTCAACCTTTCTAAGAGTTGATCTAGGGCTATATCCCTTACGACTTCCAGCCATCTCACCATCACCAGAGGTTCGGTTGAATCCTTCGACAATAGTATATGCAAGACCTTCGCCCATTTGAATTCCCCTTTGATTTCCACCTTGACTATATTTGAGGCCGCTTTGTTACTAAATTTCGTACCCGCACGAGTGTTCAAAACTCGAACCTCGCGTGCATATGCAGACAGAATCTGCGCCCCATCTGGATACGGGAGTACACGACAGTTGACCCACGATGAGTCCTGAGCCTGACAATACATCAGCAACTTTGTATAAGTAATATCGTCCATTTCAAACAGGCCGCCAATGTTTCGCTGAACCACTTTCACCGGATCACTTTGAGGGGGGGCTTTGCATAGAAGCCTCTGTTGGTGACAGAATCGGCGCATGATCGTTTGTCCCATTTCCTCTAGATAAACATGCGATGTGGTCAGCAAGCACGTCATTGCCAACTTCGTCTAGAAATTTTGCGTACTCACCTACTTTCCCATTTGTGTTGATCTTTTGTAAAAAGCCACACATACGCTCTCCAGGGAATTCTGACACTGCCAACATCGGACCCCACCATGCCATTTGACTTGATGTATGAATCGCATAATGATGATTCTGTTTGATTTTGCAACCTCGTTCGATCTCTTGTGATGATCTTGTGTATTCAAAGTACGCCTGCTTGAATCGTTCTGGATCATCCTTCTTGACCTTCCGTGCCGCTACAATATGAGTGCCTTCCACAAGAGCACAGAAATTGAATAATAACTTCTTTAAGTATGGATTAGCTCGATCCTCTAGAAACGCTTGGTAATCTCCAATGAAAACATCGATAGCCGCCAGTGGTAAGTGTGTCGCAAAAAGGGCATGCCATTCGCTTGCCTTGAGTTTTCCGTTTGCTACAGTACCCAGTCCAGACGGCATACGAGTTACTCCTCGTGGTACCTTGACCGAGTCCAGATTTTGCCGAATTGCACTGATAAGATCGTCCGAAAGCCATCCATCACCAGCTTCAAGTTCTTCCTCGTTTACTTCACAGACCTTGTTGTTACCACGGACACGAGGTTCATCTTTGACCAGAAAGACCCATCGAAATCGGAAGTGATTTGCTAGCACACCCTCAAACCAGTTGTGCATGACACCCAGCACCACGTTTTTGACAGGGTCCCAATATGGGAGCCGATTCAGTTCGGACCATCGTACGCCGGTATTTGTGGCTGCGCTTTCTCGTTCTTTGAGAGTATCACAATTCTTCCAGTTGTGGGCGGCTGACAGGACTTCTCTTCGATTTCGTAAACGCCCAACTTTCATTTGCGCCAATTCTTTCTTTGGTAAGTTACACCAGGTACAGAAATAGGTCCCTGAATGGGATATGAACCCAGCGACTTTATGATTAGCCACCATATCACCGCTCAGATTAGACAGTCGCACCATCACTTTGCGGCCTTGCGGATGGCGATGAGTCTTGATTTTGATACCACGATCTAACTTGAGCAACTGATCAATTACCGGGCGCAAGACATGACTAATAGTGGTCATGTCAGGCTGATGAGGAGCTGGAACCATCCCTGCTAGAAACGTGTGTTTCATCAGATGTCGAGACTGAGGTGGTAAATTCAAGCAGTTCATTGTAAACACTCCAATTGAGACTTGTCTGCCAGACGTCTTGTTTCCGAGCGGGTTAAACCAATCGATGAATAGAGAAAATGCCAAGGGAAGAGGACGAGGTCGGGAGGAGTTTGGGTTAGATGTTTCGATGTCGGCATAAAGATGTTTGAACGCTGCACTATGAGTATAGTCCGAGACTTCTTCAGGTTCCCTTTTGCTACATTCTTTCGTCCAATCGTCAATAAAATCTTCGATGTAAGTTATCGATAAGAACCAGGTGAGCCATTCCTGTAAGTCTTGGATGATGAAAGTGGAGAGCGGTTTATTGAATTTTACTTTGACAGAAGTACGTGGACGTTGTTCAGAGAGTCGGGAGATGGACGGAATTTCTGGTATAGGTCGACTAGCAAAGAGCTCAGAGTTACATGCTCCCGTTGAGGGTAGTTGTCGATAGCCACATTCAGCTGGGGCAACCTCCGGCTCGTAGAGAGTGTAGCATTCCGGGCAGCATACAAACCGCTCGAGAGATGCCTCGAGATGAAGGCGAGCCGTGATCGTTCGTACATCTTTTGGAACCATGTTGAACCAGTCGGTGCAAGAGTCCATTTTCGTACACATTTCGACAATTTGCATCACATAATCTCGCGCTTTCCTATTGTTATCCCGTGTCATTCTGCACTCTAAGTATAACCAAGCAATAAAATACAATACAAGATCTAGATGATAATAGAGTTTATTTTGTTAGCTCTAGTGGGGATTTCCGTTGAAAGTGATACTACTGACAGACTAATTTGAATACATTCGGATCCTCAGGGCCAGCGATATGATCAGAATCCGAATCAGAAGCAGAATCTTCTGGTTCGGCGTCGTTGATGCTTGCCTTGGCATGAAAGTCGTTGGCTAGCGCCTCGAGCAGTGGTGTGTTTTCAGGTTTGGTGGACATTCTTCTTCTATGGTTCCTTTCAGTTCCTCGATTAATCCATAAGCCGGAGACTTCGTTACCTGAAGAATCGGTGTGCTTCGCTTTGATACATTCAGAGCAGGTACAGAGCACTAAGCCCAGCTCCGCTGGCGATTGATGCCCAGTTTGAATATCGATCATCGGGTGTATCTTCTGGTGGGATGTTGAGGAACAGGAAGTGATGATGAAGGGAAGTTGAGCGATGAGATGAAAGGAATCGAGAGTTGAAAGACGAGAAGTGGTTGATGGTGATGTAAAGGGTGGTGTGCGTCAAGGTGACGCTCCAGACAGGTGCTGTGCGGCACCTGTCGACGCTCCCTGTGAAGCTGTCGACGCTTCATGTGACGCTCCCTGTGAAGCTGTGTGACGCTCCGGCCCCGGGGCGGAGCGTCCGCATGACGCTACATAGGGAGCGTCGCCCCTTTGCCCGGGGTGTGAGCTACTAAGGCTTATGGCGTCATCGAGCCTGTATGCGTACAGGATCTGCCAGTAGTACCTGTATGCTGATGTGTTTGAGACTAAAAAAATCAAGATCGATGTAGTAAAAGACGAAAACAATGTTTAAGACCAGTTGAAAGTCCATATTCATGAGCAAATTTAACAAACTAAACACTAGAAAGTTATAAAACATTCATAAAAGATTTATAGAGTAAGAAATCCAAGATCAAAGTAAAGAAATATGTATACATAAAACATTATCTTTTCTAAGAAAAACCCTGTTTGACAATCAACTATACATTTACTTATCATGACCAGAAACCAACTGAAAGAAAATCATTCTAAATCTAATCAAACGGAACTACTATGTATCATGTTTTTGAATAGATCAATCAATCACTATGAAATCATTTATTCATTTATTTAGACTTGCTTTTTGTTCTTCTAGTACCTTTCACATGTCTAGTTTTTTTCTTAGATTTCCAAACCGT